ACCAAACAAGGAACAGGAAATAAGGCGGAAGACACACATCCCATTGTTTGTTAGATCATCGTTGTATATAACCCTGCGTATTCACTCGGTACTCACGGAGTTAACTGTGATAGTTCCTTTATATTTGATGAAAAGATCCTTTAAGAAAACCCTTATTTCTTATAATAAAATGATAACCACAGTAGTTCCTTCTATAATCACTTAGTTTATACTAGTTATATATAATCTAATATCGAACAGATAGTTAATTGTGTGAATCTGCCCTAAACCCACAACCAAACAAGGAACAGGGAATGAGGCGGAAGGCACACATCCAACTACCTATCGGATATTAATTATATATAACCCTGATGTATAAACTAAGGTATTATAGAATTAACCACTTAAGGTCCTTTAAGTTTTACTGGTTTAATAAAATGGATTAAACCCTTTACTGGTTAAGTTTCTAGTTTTGTATTCCAAAAGTTGTTCATTTGAAAAGTATGTTTTCTACTAGAAAACGGTGCATTGAATTAGTGTCCTATGACCTGACCCATACATGGTACCCCTTATGATTTCTTGGTGTATACGGAACATATATATAGCTAAGCTCGGATAGATAGTAGGCTGGGTGTATCTGCTCTAAGCCCACAACCAAACAAGGAACAGGAAATGAAGCGGAAAGCACACATCCTACTACCTGTCGGACCCGATTAATATATATCCCTGAATGCATACACTAAGGAATCATAAAGTTAGGATTATAGATCCCTTTCTACTGAATGTACTAGACTCGACTGTTTTGTGTGTCGTTTGTAAAATGTATGTTTTCCCTAGTTTATAACTATCTTGACTCGAAAATAGTTTGTATTAGCTTTCAAGTGGAACTGTCACTTACTGAAAGTAATGGGAATTTATAAGTACGCAGTTGTCTTTTGAATTGACATCCTGTAGTACTAATTACCTTAAAACATGTTTGTTTTAGTAAGGTCATAATGTGAAGGCTAGTACCCATACTATACGCTCTCCCTGTCAAGAGATTCTGGGAACCAAACGCGACTGCAGCAAACAATTGCTAGCCGTGTAATTCACATTAAAGTTATATGATCATGTATACCTAATTTAACTATCACCTTTTGTTAAGAACAATGAGTTAGTGATTCATTGGTATAGTTAGATCTTGTAGTTGTTCTATGCTATAGCATCTTAGTATATTCGTTCTGTTATAGTATCTTAGTATGTTCTCTTTGAGGTATTGCATCTACCTCCCTGTTTCTCTTTATGTTATCGTGTATTGTATCTACCTCCCTGTTTCTCTTTATGTTATCGTGTATTGTATCTACCTCCCTGTTTCTCTTTATGTTATCGTGTATTGTATCTACCTCCCTGTTTCTCTTTATAGTATGTTTTAGCATCTAGTATAAACTGAACTACTAAACTATACCCTTTATAGTTTACTAGTATTTTACTTGAACTGTTATTGAAAAGACTCATTTTACTACCAAGTTATGCTTGTATTTTAAAAATGGAGTTTTGTTAAACTATAAAGTAACATAACTTTAAAAGAGTTTTTGAAATGTTTTGACTACTTATAAATAACATAACCAATCTTTTGAAAATGTTTATAACAAACAATTACGCAATTATCATTGTGTTCAACTTGTATTCCCCCCTTAAAAGCATTTAAAACAGTTTAAAAGATTGATTACGGGGTATGAACTCACCCTATGTGGGTGATTCAAACGAATATGCGCGTAAGGATGAGAAGTTCCACGAATGAAGTCCCGAGACACAAACGAGTCCTAAATGACATATATTGGCATGAATATAGTGTTCAGAAGCACACACATGCAAGGAAACACCTTTAGGGACTAGGAAACAATTGAAATGAAGTGTTGAATCACATGTGATTGACCAAAGTGGAGTGTACGGCCACAAAGAGGAGTTTACGGCCCAAGTGGTATGTCTCATGGAGTTTACGGCCATAGGGTTTACGGCCCTATGAGTTTACGGTCGTAAACTCATGCTACTTTGTGCATATGGGTGTTTTAAAGGGCTTAAAGCATTGAGGAAGGGTTCTAGGTTCATGTCCAAGCCTTAGGAAGAGTTTAAGGTCCAAATGCACTACAAACTAGGGTTAACGGCCAAAGGAGATGCTCTTGGCCGTAAACACCTCATGTTCTTGGGAAAAGCTTGATTTCAAGGCTAGCATTATGAGTCTTAACTAGATAACAAGAATAGGGGAGTAATACTTACGATTTAAAGGCAAAGGAGAGTGTTTTCGGCCCAAAACACCTAAGTGTTCTTGATGTTCTTGAGAATCTTTGAAGATCTAGACTCAAAGATGAAATCCATGGATGAAATCAATGGTGATTCATGGATAAGAGAAGTATTAACACATAGATGGAAGGAATCACTTACATTTTGAGGGTTTTGAAGCAAAATCCTATGATACTTGAGAGAGTTTTCGAGTTCCAAACCTTGGAAATGGAAAAAGTGAAGAAAATGGCCCAAGCTTCATACTTATAGACTGGAGTTTACGGCCACCATGAGTTTACGGCCGTAAACTCATGGGTCCTGGCCGTAAACTCCTCATTTGAGGGTTTATGGCTTGATCTTTGTACAATGTCTCTAGCAGATACTTCCTAACACGCAGGTCCGAAGGTATTGGGCTCAGAACACTCAAACAAACTCTAAATAGTGCTAAATGATAGCAGGAGTGAGTCGGACTTAAGGTTGATTGGCTTGACTTATAAGGCAAAAAAAAATTTCGGGTTGTCACACTAAATATGTAAACAAAAAAATTAAAGTGTCAAATAAAGATAAAAATAACATTAAAAAGATATAGATATATATAGATATAGAGGGATAATAGATATATATAGATATATAGATATATCTATATATAACTCTATTAAATAACTAATAAGCTAAATTATATATTTATTTGTTTATTTTAATTTTACACATCAATTACTAGTTGTCTTTTAACATGTACATATCAGGAAATTGTCAGAAAAATTTCAATATTTTCGGAAAAGTTTCACTTTAGTCACAAAAAAAAAAAATTACACATAAAAGTCCCGATTATTTTATTTTAGCTCAAATTAACAAAAAAAATTTCTTCTTTTAACATGAAATGAAATATTATCGTGTATAATCAAATAATCGGAACTTTTATGTTAAAAAAAATACTAATGTGAAACTTTTTCGATAATATTAGGATGAGAGTTTCCTATCCCTTTACATTTAATGTGTTGTATCCTTGGGATTTGACAAAGGTGCACGTTATTACATTGTTAGAGTTATGAATAAATATCTATAAATTTATATTCTTATACTATATAAAATATTGCATTATTTTAAGTAATTTATATGTTAACAATTTTCTTTTACTTGAAACTATTATTTACAATGTTTATTTTATTATATAAACATTGTAAAATAATCGGAAATGAAATATTATCTTCTAAAATCAAATAATCGAGACTTTTCTGTTTAAAAAAACAAAATTTAAGACTAAAGCGAAACTTTTTTCCGAAAAAATTAAAATAACAATTTCCCTATCATTTTACATTTAATGTGTTATATCCTTGGAATTTGACATAGTGCACTTTATTACATCGTTGAGTTATGAATAAATATCTATAAATTTATATCTTATATTATATTAAATATTACTCCTTCCGTCCCAAAATTATTGTCCACGGATTAAGGAAACATTAATTACCACCAACTTTATATAATAAAATAACAATTTTGTTCTTACTTTGCATTTAATGTTCCATTAAATGTTTTGTTGGTTAAGCAATAATGATGGGTATTTTGATAAAAATGTTATTTATTTTTAGAAGTTGACTCTTATTTTTAGATAAACCAAAAAGAAAAGATGAACTATAATTTTGTGACGGGTGGAGTATTATTTTAAGTAATTTATATGTAAACGATTTTCTATCGAAACTCTCATTTACAATGTTTATTTTATTATATAACGTCATTCAGAATACAAAACAGAAAAAACACTTTTCATTTACTAACTTGAGAAAGAGAACACTTTTATCGAAACAAACGTTTTATGACTTTATCCACATGAAAATTGGTGAGAGAGAAAACAAACGAACAAACAAGCTCTACTACACCCTAACGTCTGATATAGATTGATTGTAATTTTCCCATATATAAGACATGAAGTGAACGTTCGACCCCGTCGACTACGATTATCATGCCATTATTGGTTGATACTATTTGTATAATTTTGGGAGAACGATTGGAGGAAGTAATGCCGAATACTGCACGAAAATGGCCAAACCCATCACCCATGTGTATTGCGTAGTTTTATGTCACTACTAAATGATAAAGATAGCATATAGAAAATCTATTCACTACTTACATAAAACTAGACCAATCCACATTCCACATACATATGACTAGAACAAATATATCTAGTCAGATCTGCCTAATAATACCCACGTTAAAAAAGTTTTTTATATTGACTTATACGCAGGGATGTTATTCGGTCGGAACCGAACCTAGCTGACCTAAACCTGAATAACCTGAAAACCGAGTAAGTCTAATTGGAGGAACCGAAACCTGAACCGATTAACCTAATACGGGTTGGTTCGGTTCGGGTATTAAACTGGTTCTTGTGTTATGAATTTCATATTCGAACTCAATTAAGTAACTTTAAAAGAGTTTTCTATATCAGGTATTGGTTTAGTGTTGTTATGAATTTAATATTCAAACCTCATGTTAAAAATGTTTTCTATGTCAGCTTAGAGGTACCGGTTCTTGTGTTATTATGAATTTTGTATTCAAAATCAATTATTGTTAAAAAAGTTTTCTCTACCTGGTAATGGTTCTAGTTGTTACGAATTTCGTATTCAAACTCAACTCATGTTAAAAAGTTTTCTATATGTTCTAATGTTGCTATAAATTTTGTATTCAAACTTTGACTCAGACTTCAAAAAGTTAATATCAATACGATACCAAATTCAGTTATACATTTAAAAACAAACTATATATATAAACTTCAAACAAATGTCACACTATACCATCCCTGCTTTTACGGTATACCATTTGCTTCAAATTAATTCCCTTTTACTACGACATCATTTAATGAACACACATTTTCAAAAAGCAAAACCATATAATAACTACAGAAAATAATTTTACGATTTATTATCATCTACCAAATCACTTTTACTCTCCAACCCATTATTCACTCCTTCTTCAACCTTCTTCCACTCCTTCTCCTCCCCCTTAGCCGTGTCATATGCTGCATGAAGTCCAAACAAGAAGTAATAAACCAACAAGAAACCCGTCCACCCTCCAAACCTAATAAAGGAGTCTCTATCAATAGAACCCAAAAGAAAAATATTAATTGCAATCGAAGCAGAGGGTAACCACGGCACCAGTGGTACCCCCCACATCTTGGGCTGTCGTGCCATTGGCACGAAAGCCCAAAGTGACACGGTCCCAATCACCCAGAGTGGGACCGTGACACAGTATCCGATCCACCCATGCTTCGAGAGCCCCCAATATGCGGAAGTGGCGATAGAGGAAATGAGAATGGTTGCTAAACATGCTATGAGTTTGTTGCGGTTGGCAGTGGTGGTGACGCCGGTGACGTAGTAGCGGCGGACGAGGAGGGCAACCGCCACAAGCATGAAGATGAAAAGGGTGGAGATGGAGAGGAGGTTTGACAGGACGCCGAGGCTGGTGAAGAATGCGATTACGGCGGTGGCAACCAGCATGGCGATAGTTGCGTTCACGGGTGTACCGGTTTTGGCATCCACAATCGCGAACCATGGTGGCATCATGTGTGTCCGAGCGATATGGGTAAGGTATCTGCAAGAAACAACAATGTACTTTCTTTTATTTGTGTATTATGCCTTATAACATCCAACTTCATAGTTCCGAAAATCTATATAGTAATACCAATAAAATCCAAATATAAAACAAATTCCACTTTGAAATTGAGTAAATTTCTCAAACCAGAAAAGAGAAATTAAATACCCTCCTTGAAAATGGATACAATCTATTTATATTTCAAATTTAGTCCTAAAGATATAAAGTAAGATATGATTATAACCAAATAAAGAAAATTTGTTACTTATTATTATATTTTTTTTGGTTAGCCCTAATATGAATGCAAACTTGTACTTTTGACTAATGAGTTGCTACTTGCTAGATTTTCATTCTCTCTTAATATGAATGCAAGCATATAGTTTGACTTTTAAAGTCAAATAAAGCACACTATTGAAGTTGAACATTACCTGGCTTGACCAACAGCTCCCACTAGTAGCACTGACGTCATACCCTTCAAAGCTCCGGCAGCCACCACATATTTCGCCCAATCCCACCCCACCGCCTCAAACGCCTTGGAGAAAGGAGCATCGATATCTATCGACAAATACGGTTGCATCAAGCAAAGCGTTATCGCTAATGCACAGTATAACGCGGTGGTGATCACCATCGACCCAACAAGTCCAATCGGAATATCTCTTGCCGGATTCTTAGTCTCCTCCGCCATTGTCGCCACCGCATCAAACCCAACATAAGCAAAGAACAAAACAGCCGACGCCTTGAAGACACCCCTGGCTTTCTTAGGAGCGAAAGGTCTGTAATTGTCGGTGTCGGCGTTGATAAGCCCGCAGATGATGATGAACAGTATGACGATGATGTGGACGATGGAGGCGATGTAGTTGATGCGGGAGGAGCCTTTGGTGCTGAGGACGGCGATGATGCAGATGATGGCGATGACGCCGACGGCGATTGGGTCAAGTTGGTTGTAGTTTTCGGCTAGGCCGTGAGCGGTGATGCGGAAGTCTTTGGGATTGTAGTTGCAGAGGGTTGCGAAGTAGGAGGTCCATGAACGCGCCACCGCAGCTCCGCCGATTACGTATTCTAGGAGGATGTTACCGGCGGCGATGAAGGCGACGAAGTCTCCTAATTCCACCCTCAAATAAGCGAAGGACCCACCTGAAAGTTAATGTCATCATCAATAAGATATTATTATTTTATTATATCAACTTACTATTGTTATTTATCTATATATTTACGTTAGATAATATAAGTTCTATTATTAAAATCTAGCATTGACTTGAAATAAATAACAAATTATAAAATCAACCCTTGTAAAACATTTCAAATAATTGATGAATTAATAAAAACGCTAGCATAAGAATATCAATAATTTAATAATTATATACTAATTTCATTTTGAAAATTTTATAATTTATTAAATGGGATGTGGGTTGGTGGCAATGCCTTGTCCACATGGGCTGTGTTGACTTCTAAGTCTTAATCGGAACACACTCCATACATCCAATTGCGATCCAAAATCTCCGATCAATCTTGACTTGTATGAAGTCGTCTTATGATTTCCAACTTTTTGACTTTTTATTATACCTTGAGTGCCAGATTTGCTTTCAATTTTCATAAAACGGCTATATAAATTTTTTGATATAATAATAAGTATGAAAATGTCATAATTATATTTAATAAAGTAACAAAACTATATATATCAAAAGGCTAATGACAAAATGTATGTTTTCAGCGAGAAACTTGGAGTATACTTTCTTAAATAAAGAGTCCACTTAAAGTTCATGTCATTAATAAGATATTATTATATCAACTTAGTATTTTTCTTTTTAAAATATAAGTAAATCATAAGTGTGAAAGCATGAAATATTATTACACAAACAAACATTAGTGAAAAAAAACTTAGAAATTTTATATGATTAAAACCAATAAAATAACAATTTTTTTATTTAGAGGATAAGTTACTATATTAATATTGATATTAAACGAGTATAAAAAATATACACCAACACGATAATTCTTTCTTTTATTTTTGGTTAACTATGGCCATATTTGTCATGTTAGCTGGCATAAAGTATTTAGAAGGAGCTAAGAACATTTAAGATTACTTAATATGTTAAAAGCTGTCAATAAAAGTATATTCTTGGACTAATCGCCGATATAAATTTTAAATTAACTATTAAAAAATCAATAATTAACATAGTATTATTTTAAATAAAAAAATAGGATGATCGTTATCAAGAGTAAATATATCACTGTTCATGCATATTCACTGGTTGAATTTTACGTCGTGATCTACTCACTACTGTTTATGGTGACGAAATCTCAGTCGATTTGAATCAGGACATGTTCGTCGTTATTATCTAATAGCAATGATTGAAGAAAGATTTGATACAGAAAGTAGGAGAGTGTTAGGAAACCTGCAACTGGAATTTCGACGGCGAACTCGGTGTAGCAAAACACGGACATGAGAGCGGAAGCGCCGGAGACGACGTAGGACAAGACGACTGCCGGACCAGCATCATCGTGAGCTTCAAGTCCGGTGAGCACGAAGATTCCGGCTCCGATGACAGCGCCCATACCAAACCACATCAGATCCCACCACGTTAGCGTTTTCTTCATCGCCGTTTGGCTTTTCGCCTTTGCGTCGAGCTCCGCCTGGTCGCCGGAGCGTGTGAACAGCCGATCGAGTAACCGGTGAGGAGTCTGTTTTAATGCGGCGGTGTAGTTTTCCCATGTCTGGAAGGACTCCTCCGGCAGGAAATCACCTTTCTGGTACGAACAGCCTCTTCTTCGGAGGCCTGCCGTCGTCGGCTCTGGTTCTTGAATCCCCATGATATGATCTTGAGTGTACACACTCTGCCGGCCGGAGATCTCTCGTGGGAGATTGATATTACAAGGGAATTTATAAGGTAGGTGTTCGGCAAGTTCCTGGAAACGACAAAAAGATACGGACGAAAAAGATCCCGAGGATTCGAATCTACTAATATATTCTGTCAAATGCAATATATTTCTCCCAAAAAATAAAATAAAATAAATCTTTCTTTGCCAATACAAAAAAGAGGTATTTTTCTAATACGGTATTAAAAGGATGTAAGAAATATTAATTATGAAAATATTATTATAATTAAATGTATTTTAAATTTAATTATGGTAATTATCATTAATTAATGTTTTGTATGTGTGCCTATATGGTAAATGTTAGAAAATCTTATAAAATAATAGTTATTAGTATCACTTGTCATTTTCTCATAATTTACGTTTTCTTTTCAAATACTCCACAAAAATGATAGTTGTTATTTTCTTTTTCTAAAAAGTATTTATGTTGATAATAAGTTAGATAATTATTTATCTGATCCCTGATTTTTACGATAAATTTAAATTCGTATTGAATAAGTTTCGATTATTATTGTCGATAATTAATTGTATTTATATATTGAAAATCCTACAAAATCATGTTTAATTAATTATTTATCGAAAAGAATTGATTAATAATTATGAGTTTTTATTATAAAAAAAATTAAATATTTTTATAACCGTGGTTTTCACGGACTATATAAACTAGTAAATGATATAAATATAAAATCATAATAGTTTTTAATTTTTTTTACGAAGTAGCTAAAAAACGAAAAATATGTTTAAAATAACCATAACATTTACAGGCATGGCCTACATTTATTTCTTTTTTTTAGCAAAACGACGATTGTTTTGGGAACGTTGACTGCAAAATGTATTTGTTGATTGTGAAAATTTGGTGGGCTACTGTGACAACCAGTTATTTTCAATCTTGTAAAAGTCAACCAAAGACAAAACTTGGTCAACAAAAGTCAAACATCTAATGTCCGTGTTTCTAGGCTAGACATTAATATTGACATGATAGTCTATGTTAACCTTTGTGACTCATTTTGGAGAAATGAAAAGGAATTATGTGAAAATTATGTGTTTTATGCTTAATTATTAGGGTTTAATTAATTAAGACTAAAAATGAACGTCGAAAATAAATATTAGATAAAGTCGATATTTATTAAGAAAGTTGTAGTGGTCGTGACAAGGATTACGGATATATAAAGAACGCCGAAATCCGAGTTATCACTAGTGTAAATGAATGTAAACTTTGTTTATGCTTATGTTTTTGTATTGACAATGACATCCCAATGGTTTAAGTGAATAAAATACATTTTCTTCGGAAATGATTTGATAACATATTTATCCTGTTTTTCTGGGAACAAATTCCGCAACACTTTTAATCAAATGATTACTCTGAAATTATTTCAAAAGCATAAATTAAACCGGTCTTTTCTGGCCGTGAATTCGGGGATGTCACAGTTGGTATCAGAGCATTAGTTTAAGCGAACTAAGAAATTGTAGGATTTCTAGACTTAAACTTAGAATGCTAAGTGATGATTGTGAGATGAGTGTCTGCTATATTTTAGACACGAGCACAAGTTTATTTTAAGAAAGATGCCTAAAATGATTTTTATGTGTTAAATATTTTATGTTATAGCTATAAAGATGCCTTATATGCTATTATTTGTTCGGATCTATGGTCTGTTGCCGACCGGATCTGGAAACTTTATGTGTTTAGGATTCTAAGCGTATGACTACGATATTAGAACTAGCATGTAAACGTTTCAAAGTGATGAGGAGATTTATACGTCTATCGTAAATAAAGCTTTCTTATCTTAAATTATCGCCCGGTACACCGAACGTGTGCTTGGGTGTACAAAACGTTATGGTAAAGACTCGTAGATAATTGAGTAGATGGAGGAAATGAAAAGCTTATGATAGTGAATGATACCTATAGGAAGATATTGTAAGAGTGGTATCTTGCCTTTAGAATATGTCTAATAAAATAACGAAACGTTTAGAGGGGTACGGTACGTCTGAAGTACACCTTCGATTGGCAGAATGATGGAATGGTTGGTGTAATTCTTGATGTTGTCCCATCGTCTGGAATTTCCATCACCAACCAAGTTGAAGTAGAATTGATGATTGAAGATACGCATGGAAGAAGTCCTAGTAGATGCTAGGGAAATTTTTTGATTAATTGGACACATTCGTATGTGTTAAATTGTTTTGTGATTTTAGGACTTGGGGACTGCAAGACAGTACTTGGGACAAGTATGAGTAGGTGTGAATAGTAGTAGAGATCTATACTACTGGAAGCACAGGACTCACACTTGGATCAGGGAAAGTCACAAGGTTACCAAGGAACTAGTAATTGATTCCGTCTTATTTTAGTCTGTCGTTACCATCGTTTCGGTAATGAATAAGAAGATGATTGTTATTCCGACCCTAGTGGTCATATCAAATTGAGTCCGACTACGATGAGTTTGTTACGTGGTTCAGAGAACCAAGTTCGATGTAGCATTTGACATAAGCCAAATGATTGAAGTAAAGGATGATCAAAGCGATCAATAGAAGTATTGCGTTAGTTGTTAAAGAAGTTGGGTTAGGTTGTGTTCTAACCCAAAGGGATAAAGTGATAGCATATGCATTGAGGCAATTGATAGAGCATGAAAAGAACCACCCCACTCACGATTTGGAGTTGGCAGCGGTAGTATTTGCCTTAAAGATATGGAGGCACTATCTTTATGGTACCAAATGTAAACATTTCACTGATCATAAGAGTCTTTAATATCTCTTTAATCAGAAGGAATTGATACATGAGGCAACGGCGCTGGCTAGAGTTACTCAAGGACTTTTGACTGTGAGATACTTTACCACCCTGGTAAAGCAAATGTTGTTGCTGATGCTCTCAGTCGGAAGGTAAATCTTGAAAAGAAAAGGCCAAGAGCGTTAAGGATTGAAGTTGTCTCGACTATTGTGAGAAGTATAAAGAAAGCTCAAGAGGAAGCTTTAAAAAAGAATGACCGAAAGGAGGAACGTTTGGGAAAAACGTTGGTGTTTGATACAAATGGTCAAGGATTGAAGGTATTCAAAGATAGGATTTGGGTACCTAAGACGGGAGGAGTAAGAGGTCTTCTGATGGAAGAAGCTCACAAAACCATGTACTCGATTCATCCCGGCAGTGCGAAAAATATATAGGGATCTAAAACCCTATTACTGGTGGCCGGCGATGAAGCTCGATGTTGCTAAGTATGTGGCCGAGTGTGTAACATGTGCTAGGGATAAGGCACAACATCAGAAACCGTATGGGAGTTTAGAACCTTTACCTGTACCCATGGGTAAACAGGGAGGTATCACTATGGATTTTGTGACTAAACTGCCCAGAACAAGGAACGGTCACGACATAATTTGGGGGTGGTCGTTGATCGCTTCACGGTGTTTCGTTAACGATTGTATCCAATCGTGACAGCCGTTTTACCTCAAGGTTTTGGAGGAGTCTATAAGCGGAATTGGGTACCAAGTTGTGTTTGAATACAGCTTACCATCCACAAATCGATGGTCAGAGCAAACGAACAATTCAAACATTGGAGGATATGCTGAGAGCATGTACCCTGGAATTCCAAGGTAACTGGGGTAAACACTTACCTCTAGTAGAATTTTCCTATAATGATAGTTTCCACTCGAACATCTAGATGGCACCTTATCACGCTTTGTATGGGGAAAAGTGTCGAACGCCGTCATGTTGGCTGGAAGCTGAGGAAAAGCAGTTTATGGGACTTGAAATAGTCCATCAGACTGCTGAAAAGTTGAAAGTGATTAGGGAAAAGATGTTAGCTGCTCAAGAGAGCTATGCTGACAAGAAAAGATAACTGATATCATTCGAAGTTGGAGATTCGGTTTTACTTAAAGTCTCGCCGTGGAAGAGACTTATAAGGTTTGGTAGAAGGAAAAATTGAGTCCAAGGTTTATTGGACCATTTAAAGTTCTTCAGAGGATCGGGAATCAAGCTTACGAGCTAGAACTACCGGAAGAACTGGAGGGTATTCATAATACCTTCCAAGTGTGTTATTTGAGAAAGTTCACGGGAGATGTGCCCGACATAATTCCCATTTCTGAATTAAGGTTGGATGAAAACAAGAGGTTGATTGAAGAACCTGAGGAAATCGTTGACCGTAAGACTAAGAAGTTGTGACGTAAAATGGTCGAATTAGTGCTTGTGCGTTAGAAACATACGAATGGGCCAAATCTCACCTGGGGAAAACAGAGAGTGACATGGTGAGTCGCTACCCGTATTTTGTTTGCTGATGTGTGATTCCGGGGACGTAATCATTCTAAGGGGGAGAGAATTGTAATGCCCGTGTTTCTAGGCTAGGCATTAATATTGACATGATAGTCTAGGTTAACCTTTGTGACTCATTTTGGAGAAATGAAAAGGAATTATGTGAATATTATGTGAAAATTATGTGTTTTATGCTTAATTATTAGGGTTTAATTAATTAAGACTAAAAATGAGCGTCGAAAATAAATATTAGATAAAGTCGATATTTATTAAGAAAGTTGTAGTGGTCGTGACAAGGATTACGGATATATAAAGAATGCCGAAATCCGAGTTATAACGAAGTAGTTATGACATGTCGCAGTTTCGCGACAAACCGACACGGTGTCGAATGTCGTAAAAAGTGAGTTTTTGATAAACTACTTTTTAGCCTTAGTGATCTAAATGAAAGTCGTAGTATTCGTTAAACCGAGAAGTTCGATAAAAAGAACGCCAAAATCTGACTTCGTATGAGGAAGTTATGATTTTTCTAAGTTTCAGCTTAGCAGTAGACAGCTAAAAACTCGAATTTTAGATCGAGTAATTTTTATCCGACGCAACCTAAATGAGAATCGAAGGTCTCGTCATTAGTAGGACAACGGTAAAAAGTCTGACGAAAACGGACGTCGGATGAAGAAGTTATGAATTTTTAACGGATTTCCTGTCCCGGTCTGTTAAAAATAATAATATAAAAATTAAATTCAAAATTAGCCGACGAAGTCTAAACAAACGTCGTAGAGTATGATTT